TTTGAGGTGTGGAATGGAGTGAAGTCCAATCAGCTTCCATATGCAAAAGACCTTGAAACGCTGGGCTGGACTGCACAACGCAGCCAGTCAACCCAGCCAGCGTCTTCTGACTGACAGTTCTTGTGGTCAAACACTAAAGGTGTGCATTTGGAACATTGGAGCCGACTACGGCTTTATATATAAGGGAGAGATAAGAGACACCAATGTTGGATCAGGCCAAAGGCCCATCCATTCCAACACTCTGTATCACACAGTGGCCAGAAATACCAGTGCCATCAGGAGGTCCACCAGTGGGGCCAGGACATTAGAAGCCCTCCCACTGTTGACCTTAATAATTGCTTTGATGAATCAAGATACTAAACATTAGATATCAATTACCAATGTTTGTTTCCTGTCATTGTTCTATACCAGCTGCAAGCAAAAATGATAAAAGAGAATCACACTGCATTATCTGACTTCATTTTTGTTGGATACTCTGACCACCCAGTTCTGCAGATGTTGCTGTTTGTGGTGTTCCTACTGATCTACGTGAGCATCATAGCTGGAAATGGACTTATCATTTACATTGTAGTGACTGATCCTACCCTTGATACCCCAATGTATTTCTTTTTGAAGAGCCTGGCCTTTCTGGAGATCTTCTACACCTCAGTCACCCTTCCAAAAATGCTGGTCAATTTTGTGGCACAAAACAGGACCATCTCATTTGTTGGCTGTGCTGCCCAGATCTACTTCATAATTTTCCTTGGAGGCACAGAGTGTTTCCTTCTGGCTGCCATGGCATATGACCGATATGTGGCCATATGTAACCCTCTGCATTATAAACTCATAATGCACAAAGAACTCTGTTTAGGACTTGTTACAGGGTCATTGACCATCAACATGCCTGTCCATATAGGACAGACATACCTACTGTTTACCTTGCCCTATTGTGGCACTCGTGAAATTAACAACTTCTTCTGTGATATCCCACCTGTGCTGGAGTTGGCCTGTGCAGATACCTTTGCAAGTGAAGTTTACCTGGTTGCAGTCACTGCTCTTATCCTAATCCTCCCCTTTTGCCTTATCTGTGCCTCTTATGTCAAAATCATCTCTGTAATTCTGAAGATGCCATCTGTTGAGGGTCAGAAGAAAGTGTTTGCCACATGCTCCTCACACCTTATTGTGGTATCTCTCTTCTATGGCTCAGCAACTATTGTCTATGCAAGTCCCAGGTCAAAAGAGACATTGATTGTGAACAAGCTGCTTTCTTTGTTCTACACCATTTTGATTCCTATGTTTAACCCCATCATCTATAGTCTGAGAAATAGAGAAGTGAAGGTTTCCTTGAAAAAAATGTTTAGAAAGTGTCAGCCTGGTTATATCTCACAGGGTTGTTGAGACGAAAAAAGGGGAATAGGATCAAGGGACTGTGGTCTTTCTAGTCTTAATAGGCTGGGAAAAGATGGTGGAGAGAATGGTGGTGGACTCTAATCTGGAGAACGGTTTGATTCTCTACTTCCTCACATGAAGCCAGCTGAGTGACCTTGGGCCAGTAACAGTTCTCTCCGAACCCTCTCAGCCCCACCTACCCCATAAGGTGCCTATTGTGGGGAGAGGAAGGGAATGTCATTGTAAGCCATTTTGAGACTCCTTAAGGTAGAGAAAAATGGGTATAACCCCCCCTTCTCTTCTTAAAAGAACTGTGTAGAGATAGAATTGTTTTTCTTCCCAATTGTGTTACTTTGCTGACTTGTCACTAATAGGTCATGTTCTTGCTTGAGTTTTCCACTTCTTCAGTAAAGTTCCCCCCCCCCCATTATTTATGAAATTGGAGCCATGTTTTTCCTCCAGGTTTCCTCTCCTCAATGCAACAAATAAGATAACATTACAATTACAGTGTTCATTACAAAATACTTAAAACAATGACTTTCCTTTTTCTGAGTTGGAGAAGATCTCTTCTAAATCGCTTGTATACATTAGCAAGTAATTAGCTCATATTCTTTTAGCTTAATGCATATTATTTGACTACGGATGTTGCTCAAGTGTATATAAATTTATATGAATACATTGAATATTGCTACATGATTATATGTGATGAAAGTTATTGTATTGCATAATTCATTTTAGAAAGTGTTTAACAGAGAGCTATACAATGTTTGATGGTCTGTTTTCAGTGTAATTTTCTTTATAGTGCAGATATAAGGGTAGCATATATTGGGAACCTTCTCTTTGCAAAACCACACTGTAAGAGTAAGAAGGTAATGCAGTCCAGCATTAGGACTTGCATCCCGGCTGCATGAGAACGGCTTCGATACCAGCCCTATTAGTATGGTTAAAGCTTGTGTGACTAGCGCTGCTCCAGGCTCACTCTTCCCTTTTGCCTCAATGGTAGGTGTCAATTTCACACAAGCTCAAAAAACAGGATTGAGTAGACACGGGGAAAATCGCACGAAGCTGCGAGGCAAAATGCGGCTGCGCAGCAGCTTCTGTGAAATTGACACCTAACATCGAGACAAAAGGGAAGAGTGAGCGTGGAGCAGCACTAGTGGGAAATCACCCTAAATGTCCCAGAACATTTAAAAGGATTTTCCCCAAATACCTAAACTATCAAATAGATGGCCCTGCTATAATCGATAGTACTTATGTCCTTGTAAGTGCTCATAGGATTATACCCTTAAAGAGTAGCCTTCACTTAACAAAGGTGTTTATACCTTTTGTTTATTTACAAACATTTTAACCCTCCATTTTCTAACAAACCCTCTGTTATGTACTGACAGAACAAATGAATCTCCTCATTGAACTCCCATGTTAAGCTTCAGGCCAGCAGAGGATTCCACAGTACTGTAAAACTATTGGTCGCTTCAAAATAGCGACCAATCACAAATGAATAGTTCCCTGAGCGGGAAGAACTCTGATTTGTCCTTATCCCTGCAATCTAATTGGTTGTTATTGTATATAGTGGGAGGGGCTATATTAGCCCGGTATGTTTAAATAGGAGCATAGCTCCAATGTTGGTTGTTCTGGTTTCCTACATGCGTTTAAGTGCTTGTTTGCTTATTCTAATAAAGCTGAAATCACTTTGCTGAATCACTGTCCGAGTCTTCGTTGGCGCAATCCAACACCCTCATGTTGGGTTTTAATGTGGTATTAAAATACAATAAAGGTTCTAATAGCAAAGATACTAAAACAGCACATTGAAATAGCCGAACCTTGGCCTCGGTCACATGGAAGGTTTTGCCCCGCAAGAGGGACGGATCAGGGGCGCATCAAATGGGCGCAATCACACCGCAACATCTGGGAAGCGGAGCGCACCCATCCCCGATCTGTCCTTTCCGGGTGAAACCGCGCATAAAAAAAAACCACCTAGAAAAGAGTACTACCTACCTGAAGCTCCGCAGCAAGGGTGGCCGTGGGATTGCCGGCGTGCCCATCTTCCGCAGCATTCAAGGCTCCCAGCCAAACTGCGGATGCGCACACCTGCACAGCCGGCTGCCTCGCTCTCTGTTCCGTGGCTTCTCCCCCAGCATCTGATCATGCCGGGGAGCAACTGCACAGCAGCTCGAGGGATCTGTCTGATTCCACCACCGCACGTCTATTTTGCTGCGGCTCAGAAAAGCCGCACTTTGGCTGTGCTCCCCCCCCCCTCGTGTGACCGAGGCCCTTGCTTTGCCTTAAAAAAACCCAGCAACACAATGTTCCTGAAAGACTCAGGTAAGCTATTCTACCAGGAAGGAGAAAGCCCAGAAAAGGTCTTTTTCTAGCCCACAGAGCTAATTTAACACTATGATGGGGTTGTTAACAACAGTTGACTGGCTGTCTGGAACAATCTCTATGAATCGTATCAGGAAAGATGGTCCAGTAATATGTAGTTGTCATACCACGAATGGCCTTGCAGGCAATAACAAGTAACTTGAATTGAACAAAAAAACTAACCAGAAATTAGCCTTTTAAAAAAATCAGTACTGAAGGAATACAAGCCATCTGTGCTACATTTTGATACAGATTGGGAAGAAATGGTTTCCTATTGCATTGTCTAACTTATTCTTGAAGTCAGTGATGAAATCTGAGAAAAACTGGAGCTTCTTTTGGCACTCAGCAACTGACAGTCATCCACGTGTGAACCCAGCCTTCCAGTCTCAGGCACTACGATGTAAGGAATGATGGGGAAAGAGAAACAGTTTGGACCAATGACAGGGGAGGGGGGGTTAATGTGAATTCACTGTAAAAGTTTGAGTGATATGGTCATACCAATGGATGGGAAAAGTGATATTAACATCATCCCAGAAAAGCAAGCTGGTTTATATTAAGAAAATTTGTGAGAAGTGAGTACCAATGCTCCCTCTAAGCTGTGGAGTCTTGTGAGCAAAAATTCTACTTTGTGAGCTACTGGTATTAAAGTTGTGAGCGAGCAATTTGGCTACTGCATAAATTAGTTTGCCCTGGAGCCATCCTTCCTCAGCTAAGACAAAAATGTGTGAGCCGGAGGCTAAAAACTGTGAGCTAGCTCACACTAACTCATCTTAGATGGAACACTTCTACTGATAGAGGTCTATTCCTAATGATTTTTGGGTGTTCTCTTTATATGCTATTTACACCTGTGCAATTAATATTTGCCAAACTTTGGAAACAAAAATTCCAACAAGAAAGTATTTTGTAGGTAAGGTGAAGGAATTTTATTTATACATGAAAGCATCATCTTTGCAAAAAAAAAAGTTTAACAAGATCTGGAAAAAGTCTTTAAGCCCATTGGAACAAACATTTTTCCCTCTAATGTGTGAATTTGAAAGAAAATGTTATGTATTTCTCTCCTATTTCTTCAACTGTTCCCTTCCTGTACTTTAGAAGGCATCATACAAAAATCAAGGTTGAAAGCTGGAAAGCAAAATCATCCCCTCCAAGGAAAATAGATGAACACTGCAATTTAAATTAAAACAGTAATTCCATCATACTTTGAAGAATTTTTGGAGCTTGTATTGATCTACTCAGTGCAAATTCCTGTGACAGAGTTTGGTTTATCCTTTTGAGTATACATGGTGAAGACTGGCATTACATGTAGGCTTAGAATGTTACTATGTGACATGAACAGCCTGAAACCTATTCAAACTTGGTGCTCAAGAAAACGTTCTGATTATTAATTTCATTGTTATTACGTATTCTATGTTATATAGTTGAAAAATAAATTAGTTATGAAATTTGAAATTTAAAATGTTTGAAGTAAGGACCATTGTATCCTATAGAAAATGTCTTTAAACTACTGGGGAGAAATATTTGTTTTATATAATCCCTCTTTCCATTTTGTACCCCCTCTATATTATACTTTGTTTTATAAAATTATGTACTTTTGATTTATTTTAGAGGAGAGAGACATATTTCCATTACATATTATTATTTATTTCATTTCCATACTGTCTGTAGTTGAAGCTCTCCGGGCAGTTTACAACAAGTATAAAAGAGTAAAATACAATAAATATAAGAGTAATATAAAATAATGTAATAACGTTAAAAACAATAAAAGCAGTAAAGAACAATTAACGGAGATACCATGCAATAGACTTAGCAGTGTTCTGGTGTCTGACACATTTGATCCCTATATTAAAACAATATTCTAGAACAATATTTTCATTTTAAACATTCTTGCCAGGGCCTTTTTCACTTCAGTGTTCCTCAAACAGTGAACATCTTTAACCCTTTAGTGGTTTAAAATAGTGAATGGTGAAAAACAGAGTACGTAGTAAAGGATCACGACAATGCTCAAATCATAATAAAATCTGTAAGGCCCAATCCCTGAATCCCACCAGGTTTATCGGCAGACAGGGACAGCTCTCAAAAGAGACAAGATAACCAGGGCTCAGTTCTTTACCCCATATAATTTGGTCACTTGTTCTAAATGCTTGAGAATGCTCATTTTATTCAACCATCTTTCCTCACGAAAGCTCATGCTCTGCCACATATTTTGTTATTCTTTAGTATGCTACTGGACTCTTGCTCTTTTTCACTGCTGCAGTGCTACACTGCTACTAACGCAGCTACTCATCTTGATCTGTCTAAGAGGTTAATTTGCCAGGAACAAGTTTAAGATTTGTTTTCAGTGTCAAAGTCCCTTCCTGTGCTTTCTAAGGCAATATACAGAAATCAACGTTTAAAGATGGAAAGCAAAATTATCCCCTCCTAGTAAAACAGATGAACATTACAATTTAAAATAAAATAGTAATTCCATGTTAATACAAGTAAGTTTAGAGCTTGTATTTATCCAGTCACCCTGACATGGATGGCCCAGAGTCACCTGACCCTATCAGATCTTGGAAACTAAGCAGGGTTTGCCCTGGTTAGTATTTGGATAGGTGGCCATCATGGAAGTCTAGAGGCAGAGGCAGAAAATGGCAAACCACCTGTTTGTC